CAGAATGTTGTGTGAACAGGCAACAAAGATAAAATCCCATGCGGTGTCAGCATCCCTAGAAAAGCGAGATCCTTGGGGAAGTGAGTCTTTTGGGGCAGTGCAGTGAGCTCCTTGGGGAATGCCAGAATTTTCATAAAAAGACAACAAAAGATAGAAACCCATGCGGTGTCAGGAACCCTGGGGCAGTGAGCTCTTTGGGGAGTGCCAGAATTGTTAGTGAAAAGGCAACAAAGATAGAATTCCATGTGGTGTCAGCATCTCTGGGAAAGTAGGGCCCTTAGGGAATGCCGCAATTTGAGTTAATAGCGACCATAATAAATTCCCCTGAGGGGCGCCATAACCTCAGTAGAGAAGGCAACGAAATTAAAAGTCCGTAAGGAGCCAACATCCATAAGAGGATGGCACAATGCTGAGTGAAAAAGCCACAGAAAAAAATGCCCATGGGGGATATCATCTTTTTTAAGTGAAAAGCCACATGACAATCCTTGAGGTGAAAGACCAGAATACTTGAAATCTTATTGGTTCTTGAAAGAAGACTTGATTTCAGGGTTCAGCAAGCGCTATGAGTTTGAAAATGTAGTGGTTTGAATTGAGAAGTGGATAGATTGTAGATTCGGCGGCTGCATCATGACACATACTTGTGAAAGCAGCCAATACTTTCCAAAAAGAGCTTAGTGATGATTTCAAATTAACCCTAATTTACAACAGCATCTTTCTTCTATTCTTGCTTCTTCTCAAGTTTCTCTTGCTTTCCCTTCTTTCCTGCTCTAGACTTCTGATATTTCATGTAGTTCTCGCACGTTGTTCGAGATGGAGGTGGATAATGCTTCTCCTGTTTCTGTAAGAGCTACGTCTTTCAAGGGCTGTACGCATGGCACTCACTATATCTGTATCTGGTGGTGGAAAATGGCTACTTGAATTGCCATGTTCGTTAAAATTAATCGTAAAGTACCGATTGTCTTCATGGATGACAAGGTAGACACCTTTGCAGCGACAGTCATTAAAATAGCTACGCAGCATACGCTGCAGCGTGCCTTTCCGTCGATAACGCATCTGCACAAGGCTACTGCGCTCAGTCCATGGCTTCTTGACATGTTTTGAGCTTGATGGTTGCATCTTGTGGCGTTTGATTCCAATGAAGATAAATGATCTGGGACTTGCTGGATATCACTTGACACTATGGGAAGAGCTCTCAATTTATAGCTACAAGTGAGTGTGTCCAGAAAGAGCGTGGCTCATTGAGCCAAAAGGCGCATTTTAAAAGTGTACTTCTGTCGAATGTCATTTGGAGCGATCAGTTGTTTTGTTTCGGCGCTTGCACGCGCAGGCCACGATTTGCAATCCGAAACCGTGGCCCTCCCCATTTTGGCTCGCTTCAACTCGGCCACGCGATCCGAATTCGTGGCTGGAAGAGCTCGCCAACACCCGAACGCTGAGCGGAGCGTACTGGATTATCGGTGCCACACTAAAAGAAATCCAAATCACATCTCCACCCATTCTTTATACTCGTCATCAATAGAGCAACCTCGAGTCGAGCTTCTCAAAACCAACTAAGTCTTAGCAGGGTTCGAAAGGGTTGATATACTCTAAAACATGGCCTCCGTTCTCAAAATAGGCCTTTCATTTCCAAATCTAGAAATCTAGTGGTCCATCAGCTGGTGGTTCTGCCATGATTTCTGGATGGTGGCCGCATTCTTAGTGGTATCGCGTAACGCTGCAAGTTGTGGATGGGTCCCATCTGCAAACTAATAGGCCACGAATATTGCCCGAATACCGTGGCCCCTTCCATCCAAAAGTGTACGTCTTCTGCTCGTCGTCAGAAACTAACGCCCTGTCCCACAACATAATGATGATTGGGCATGCCTTTCGGGGCGAGGACGAGTACCACATGGAACAAATAGGAAATATCATTGCTAGCGTTCGATCTTCTGTCTACTGGGTGATAAAGCAAATGTATAATATTCAAAACACCAGAATATAGATCAATGAACTGCCCTTTAAATCACACAGCCAAAGGGTCAATCTCCTCGTAATTGCGTCCACAGTCAGGGTCGAATTGAGGATAACGGGATGTGGATAGGGCGAATCATATTACAATGGAGCCCCAACCTGAAATGAGATGATTACTCTGTCAGTAAGAATAGAGGGTAGTGAAAGTTAGAACTGAAGGGCAAGGTCATCATTCAAAAATTTATGGAATTGTAGAGAGGAAAACATTTTCATTTGGGCTGTGGGTCCTTGGTCGCGACAGGGCCACAGAAATCAGTTCAAGTCCCTGGCCTTTTGTCAACCTTCTTCTGCCACTGTGCCTCTGGCTTGATTGGTCTTTGACTCTCAGGTTTTAGGCGGACGACGAGCTCCCACCTCCACGTGGTGTCCGCTGGGAACTCTCAGAGAAACAGTATGGCTGTCTCTGAGTGCCAGGAGGAGCTCAACAACGCGATTATCCACCATCAACGACGCGTCGAAGCGGCGGAAAACAATCTCGGAACCTCAGGAAACACCAAATATACGGCCCCGGTACAGAAAGGAAGTCGTGTCCCCTTTCAACGTACGCCCCTTGAATGGAACGTGGACTTGGTCCCTCCACTTTCCTGCCCGACAATAGTTTACGGTATCCGAGATTGACGAGTACGCGACGGAGACACGGATTAGAAGGAACGGATATGCCCAGATCATCACCAATGACCATCAACAGCATAGAACCTATCGTCAAGAACACAATATCTTCCATCAACAGCGCGTCGACGCGCCGAAATCCCACCCTCCGAACCTCAAGAAACACCAAACATACAGCCCCAGTACAGAAAGGAATCTGTGCCCCCTTTCAACGTACGTCCCTTGGATGGAAAGTGGACTTGGTCCCTCCACTTTCTTGCCCGACAACAGTTTACGGAATCGGAGCGTCGGATCTACGCGACAGAGACACGGATTAGAAGGAACAGATACGACCGAAACAGCAACAGAATAGAATCTATCTTCAAGAACACAATACACCCTGCCAACAACATGCCAATGCGCCGAAAACAACTCCCAAGCCTCACGAAACACCAAACATACAGCCCCAGTACACGAAGGGAGTGTCGGCCCTTTCACGTACGCCCTACGATGGAAAACGAACCCGGGGGTTTCATTTTCCTGCCCGACAATGGTTTACGGCAATGGAGATTGACAATCACGCGATAGAAAGCAGAATAGAAGGGACGGATATGGTCAACAACAAAACCACCAACAGCTTCGAACTTACCTTCAAGAACAGGTCACATTGAACGACATTGTCAACTTGTGCGCTAGTATGTATGTATTAGAGCCCCAAGGAGACGCGGCCGGATTCACATCAACAAGCATGTCACACACGTCACGGAACTTAAATGGCGGTCACATCGGCATCTCGAATTACACAAACATACAGAATCAGGAAAGAGCTAGGAATGGCCTGGCAAGTACTCGCATACACAGATACCGCTACTTTGCCTATTTGAGCATGCATACATGTATATAGAAGTCAAGAAGGGTCAGGAAAGGCCCGACAAGTGCATAGATACAGAACTGATAGAAAGATTATTGGTAGAGGGGTATCTGAGCTTGAGCAGAAGAGAAGCAATTCGGACCACGAATAGCTTGGTCTCGGAAGCAAGAGCGGGAACACCTGTATTTATAGTCGTACGCTGCATAGCTGCCTGAGGGCGGCTGGGACAGTCTATGAATCAATCAATCAATCAATCAATCAATCAACTCTCAGGTTTTAGTCGCCCGTCATCTCAGTCGCCCGCCATCTCAGTCGCCCGCCATCCTCAGTCGCCCGCCATCTCAGTCGGCCGTCATCCTCAGTCGGCCGTCATCCTCAGTCGCCCGCCATCCTCAGTCGGCCGTCATCCTCAGTCGGCCGTCATGCCTCCCTACACGTCAAAATCTCTTCAAAGATGTAAGGAACACTAGAAGGAGCTTCCCAACGAAAATCACGTGGCAGTAAATGTCACGTGGTACATTGGCAATATGGGAAAACGGTAATCCATCGGTGGACGGCATAGGCCATTGAACCGATTTCTGTGGTCGTGTGGCGACCAAAGGACCCAACAGCCAAAATGAATATTTTTTCCTCTCTACAACGAGCCCTATTTGCAAGGTTCTCTAACAATGACGATGACATCATTTAGGGACACGTTTAGTGATTAAGAAACCGTGATGCGTGGAATAAGGCAACCATGCGCAAAAGGGTGACTAGTGGAGAATTCTCACCAGTTCCACCCCAAGGTACCCTGGGCGGCTTCTCGAGCTGCTACTCACGCTAGTTGCTTTTAGCGCTGTAATCGGTGGGTCTCCAGCGGCTATTTCGGGCACCCTGTTGGTTCAGGAACTGTTGAATTTATTTTTGTTTTGACTTTTTGGACTTTTGAAAATCTTTCCTACATTTTTGATCTTTTACCTTCCTATTTTCTTTTACTTTCTTTGTCGCAAGCCTCTTTTTGTCCCAGGACAAGTTCTGTCACACTGCTGCTTTTGTTGCACGCCTCTTTTTGTCCCAGGACAAGTTCTGTCGCACTGCTGCTTTTGTTGCACGCCTCTTTTTGTCCCAGGACAATTTCTGTCGCACTGCTGATTTTGTTGCAAGCCTCTTTTTTTCCCAGGACATTTCTGTTGCACTGCTACTTTTAATTGCTTGATTGATTGATTGATTGATTGATTGATTGATTGATTGATTGATTGATTGATTGATTGATTGATTGATTGATTGATTTATTCATAGACTGTCCCAGCCGCCCTCAGGCAGCTATGCAGCGCACTACTATACATACAGGAGTTTCTGCTCTTCTCCTTGGAAATTCAGCTCTTCTTGCAAGAAGCATCCTGCTGTGACACAAGTTATTCTTGCTTGATTTGCTTTCTTTCCACAGTAGAGCTTCCTCTATCCATAGTCTTCCTATCAGTTCTGTATCTCTGCCTTGTTAGGTCTTTCCTGACCCTCCTCAACTTCTGTCTACTGGTTTTACACTCGCATGCTAGTTATATTGGAGTACTGTGGACGGGACCGCCTGGAATTGACCCAGGAGGCCTGTCCTGATCATCATCTTTGCTGCTTGTACTGCCATTGACGAGCTACAGAGAATGCGTTTGATGTCCGCGCATGGAGACTTGCCTGCCCACATTCGATGTCGTTCTTCTGCCCAGTTCCGGCATTCCAGGAGGATGTGTCGCACGGTCTGCGGTCCGTAGCCGCACTGACATTTGTCGGTGTCGGCCTTATTGATGTCGTGAAGATACGCACGGAGGCCGATCTTGCCTGTACGCATCTGTGTGATCACGGAGCTAATTGCTCTGTGTGTTCCCATGTGTGTGTTGAGAGTCGCTTTTCCCGGTCGAGCCCCAAGTCGGAAGAGATCTCTACCGTGCTTTCCTTTCTCCCATGATGTTTCCCATTCACCTTTCATCGCCTGGCGGATGGTGGATTTCGTGGATGCCAGCAGCGTCCGTATCAGATCCGGTTCGGGTTGTTCAGTGTTCAAGGTAGGGTCGGCGGCCCGCTTTGCCAGTCTGTCTGCTTCTTCGTTTCCCGGTACTCCGACGTGTGCTGGAATCCAGTGAAATTGCACCTCCCATCCAAGGTCTCGCAGCCTATCGAGTACTTGTATAGCTTCGACGAGGATATACTGGCCCGACGAATGCTTGGGGTTCCGGACTGCTTGGACGGCAGCTTGGTTGTCGGTAAAGATGGCGCATTTCCCGGGGGCAGTGCCAGTTGCATGGATGTCAATTACCATCTGGAGAGCTAACACCAGGCCCTTGAGTTCCGCCGAGTACACCGTGGAGGTGCTGGATGCGCCCATGTATTGGGTCCGTTGCATGCAGATGCCGTTGTCCTGGAGTGAGGGCGCCACTGCTGCTGCCCCAACGTGACCGTTGATGCTACTACCGTCTGTGTAGATGCGCATCGTCGTCGGTTCCATGGTGTCGTGTTCCTTGATCGCGTCATTGGCCGAATCCTTTATGCAGATGAGAGGTGGGGTCCACCACGGCGGTACAACATGCGGTTGGCGTTTCTCAAGTCGGTTGAGTTGCACATTGTATTTGTGTTCCAGGATGCCAGAGAAACGGTCGAGGGGGCTCAGTGCATCGCACTTTCGGTTGGTTCTTGTATTGCTTTCACTCGATGTCGCCATGTCATTGTGTAACGGGGAGCTTCGTATGCGCATAGTGGCTTCCAGCGCTGTTTGCTCGAGTTGCTGTTGTATCGGAAGCAGGTGTGCCTCTACGTCCACGGCTGGCCCGGCGGTTGTTCGGAATGCTCCCGTGATTATTTGGGCTGCACGTCTCTGGATCCTCTTGATGGCGTTTATCATGGCACTGCCTCGGCTCGTGTAGCCATTACCGGGGATATGCCATGCGGAGCAGCCATACAGCATCTGAGGTATGATCATTGCTCTGTACACCTGCCGGAGATTAATAGCTCCTGTTCCCCATGTTGAGGATGCCAGGGCTGATAATGCTGAGAGTCGTTTCGTGGCCCCTGCTTCTACCTTCTCGCGGTGGTAGTCCCATCGGAGTTTGGTATCCATGTGGACGCCCAGGTAGCGGCATGATGGGGAGGCCTCGACTGTGGCGTGCGGTAGGCGCAAGGCGTGCGTACTGTTTGCCTTTGGGTCTCTTGTGAAGTGGACAAGTTCGTACTTTGCTGGCGCAAACTGGGAGCCATGCCTTCGCGCCCATTGTTCGGCGTTTCGGTGGATTTTCTTAAGGGTTTTGCAGTTGCGCTGTGCGGTCGGGCCTACAGCCAGGATTGACACGTCGTCAATGTATCCAACCGCCTCTGTCTCCTCTGTCTTGCATACTTCAATGAGGTCAGCATTGTAGAAAAGATACAGAATCGGCGAGATGGGCGATCCTTGTGGAATTCCAGTTTGAATCGGGGCCGACGGTGCAGTGTACTCCTGTAGCTTGAGAGTGGTAGATCGGTTGCTTAGAAATGACTCTATCCACCCTATGATCCTCTCACTAACTCGGCGTTTCCGGAGGTTATGTAGAAGTCGTTGTTGAGAGACGTTGTCGTATGCTCCTGACACGTCGAGTAGGAGTAGGGAGGCCACCTTGCCTTCGGACCATGCCTGGTGTATTTGTTGGAGGAGGAAGTGCATGGCATGCTCAGTCGAGGCCAATTTCCGGCCCCCCGTGTGGCGGCTGGGGAGGAGTCGGTAGACGTCGGCGATATATGCAAGTCGGTTGGCAATGATGGCTTCCAGGGCCTTGCCCAACGTGCTGAGGAGAGCGATTGGCCGGTACGCTTTGGGTTGCGTGTAGTCGTCTTTCCCTGGCTTTCGGAGGGCTACCGTGATGGTATCTTTGAAATGAGTGGGACAGTAGCCCTGTTCAAGACACGCATTGAAGAGTTTGTGAAGGCTGGGAAGGAGGATATCAAGCGTCTGGTGCAGGATTCCGTTGGTGATGCCGTCGGCTCCGGGGGCCTTGTTCGGGGAGGCTCTGCGCACTGCCTTCTCGATCTCTGCCACGGTGATGTCCGGGCATTCGATGGGTGGGGGGTATTCGTAACCCCCAATGTCTGACAGATCTGCCTGGAGTGGTGGTGGGAAGAATGTTTGGCGGAGCACTTCCGCCTTCTCCTCTGGTCGGTGAGCAGACCCTCCGTCCAGTTTCACCAGAGCCGGAGTACATGCGGGTGTTATGTCGTGTCTGTTTTTGGCCCATTTAACCAGGTTCCAAAGACCCGACTGCGATGCGGATGCTTCTTCGACTCGTTGCCGGTGAGTGTTGCGGAGGATTTTTTGGATATGTCGGCCTTTCCTGTTTCGCGCTTCCCGGTAGGCCTCGTAGTCCTCGTCTTGTCTTGATCGTTGCCATCTCCGGCGGAGCTGTTGGACCTCGGTGCATATGTCCTTGCACTCCTGGTCGAACCCCGCAATTGATCGAGGGGAAGGCTTTGACCATGGAGTAGATGCGGCGATGCCCGCCTCCAGTGCCCTAATGATGGTGGAGACGAATTTGTCGATACCATCTTTGTTTTTAAGTTCTGTGGTGTCACCCGGTCGAGGTAGGCGTGTCTCAACGGTTTTCCGCAGTAATTCCAGGTTTGTCTTTGTCCATAGACGCTTTCTTGTTGGGTTTGCTGGTTGCCAGTTCCAGTCGAACACTAGAGCAATTGGGAGGTGATCCGAATCACAGTCCACTTCCCTATCAACCTTGCAGTGGGTCACACGGTCTGCTAAATCTTCCGAGGCAAATGTTAGGTCGATCGTAGACTCTCCATCCTTCCATCGGTGCGTTGGGGTTCCGGGCTTTGTGAGAAGCTGCAGCTGAAATTCTTCGATGACTGTAAGAAGGCCTTGGGCACTTGGCCCCCTACCCCCGTGCCGGTGTGTTGAGGACCAGAGAGGGTGATGCAGGTTAAAGTCCCCAAGTACGATGATATCCTCAGGTGAGTTTAGTGCTCTGATCGCTTCTGCCATCGTGGAAAGCGTGTCGGTTCCCACTTCATTGTAGACATTGAAAACGGAGACCTTTCTGCCAGAATGGGGATTGAGAATCTGCAGGGAGATGATGTCCTTAGAGATGTATGAGACACTCCAGGTGCCAGGGTTGATTCGTTTGCTGATGTATAGGCATACCCTCGTTGCGGCATTGGCGAGATATGTTAGTTGGAATTGTGCCTTGAGGGGGTGATATGATGTTTCGATGAAGGGGTTTCGCCACGGTTCCTGAATTGCCAGGATGTCGTAGTCGAGGATTTTTCGGTTTTGGAACAGGCTGGCGAGGACGACGTCTCTCGACTTCCACACGTTGTACTGTAAGATGCGTAGTTCCTGGTGTTCTAGCATAGGAGAGGCGTTGCTTCGGGGCAGTTTGTAAGGGATCGGCTTCGGGATCGGCTCCGGGTCACCCGGTTCCTCAGCTGACGGAATGGCCGCTCTACGCGGGGCCTCTGCGTCCATCCCGGGGTGAAGGCGCTATATTTTCCCCGCTCGAGGCGCACTGTCAGGCTTCGAGACGAGTACTCCTTTCTTTTCAAATGCTTGCGTAATTCAGCTGCCAGCGGGAAGTCTCTGCCGCAGTACATGCATATCTTCATGCAGTGGGCGATCGTCAGCTCCGCATCTTGTGCTGGCCAGCTGCTGTAGATTTCCTGGTGCTCTGGACATTTGCACGCCTTGTAGATGTGTCCTTGAGCCGTGCGAGTGTTCGTTGCCATGGATGTCGGAACAGTATCCACCGTTCCAGGGTCGTGTATCCAGTCCTCGGCAACGTTGTTTGCTAAACTGGCCAGCCATTCATCCGCCTCAGTTATGTTGAATTCTCCGTGTATAGTTTCCAGGGGGTATATTGGTGCTGCTTCGGCTGGTATGGTCTCGACAGTTTCCATGTTTGGGTTGACACCTACCGCCGGACCGGTCTCCTGGGGTTCTTCTGTCGCCAGTAACTGTGGGTAGATCTCCGGTTGCTGTGGTTCATGTTGTGGTGCTGGTGTTGCACGATCTTCTTGCGCCTGTGGAGGCTCTTGGGTGGGGTCTGTATGGTCCGGGAGTGCTTCTCTAGGGCTCACTATTGTTATAATTTCGTTGGGGGTGGGGCTGCGTGCGTGGCGTGGTCTCTTCCGCGAGTTGTTGTTCTCAAGGGGTTCGTCTTTGGGGGGCACCTGCCAGTAGCTGTTTCGAACCTGCTTTGCTTGCTCAACTCTTCCCAATTCTTTCCTCCTTGCTGGGCAGGCATTGCTCCATGCCGTGTGGGCACCTTTGCAGACTGGGCAACTGGGAGTGAAGCCTTCCACTCCCTTCTGCGTGCAGTTCCTGGTCTCGTGTAGCTCGGCGCAATAGCCACATGTTTGGGCTGCATCGCATTGAGTGCCGATGTGGCCGTAATTGTAGCACCGGAAGCATTGCTTGACTCTGCAGGCGCGATCATAGAGTTGACATGTATGTATCTGTCCGTCCCACGCCATCCCTGCGTAGATGATGGCGTTGGCCATTTCTGGGTCCGTGAACTCCACCACGATTGAGGATGCGCGTTTGAGAGGTGATTCTCGGGTTAGCCATCCCACATATGAGATCTCCGCCTTGGGGATGACTGTGTAGTTGTCTGCGAGTATTTGCTGGATGGTCGCTTTCTGGTCCTTGATGTTGATAGTGCTTGTAGAAATGCCGTGGGTGATGACTCCGTAGGTAGGCACGATGAGTTCCGCATGTTCCCCAAGTCCGCTTACCCATTCTCTGTTCTGTTTGAGCTTAACGGCCTCTGCCGTAGAAGAGGTGAAGATCTGTATATCGCCGCTTTTGAGTTGATGGGCGGCGACCACCGCCACTGATTTGGTAACCACGTGGTTCTTGATCGAGGTCTCGACTTGCTGTCTAATCTTGATTGCGGGAAGCGTCCGAAAACGCTGGGCGATTCCATGATCCTTGAGTCTGACTGTTACTGCTCGGTCCTTATATGCTGTGACTGTTGGCTGTGTCTTAGTGGTACGCGCGCTTTGGGGAACAGGTGGCGGTAACACCTGGGTGCCTCTACCATGTGCTGCCACCTGCGCCCATGTTGCAGCTGTCCGGCCACCACTAAAGTTGGTGGTATTAGGCGGGGTGGTGCTGAGGCCTACGGAGTTTTTGATGATTGATACGTCTCTCTGAATGTTCTGCGTACACTTAACAGCATCCTGGACGTGGTGGAGGATGTCGCTCATTGGGGGCTGCCGGAGCACCTTGCCCGCGAGCGTGATGGTGGATGCGATGTATTGCTGTACTATATTCCATGGTACTTGATTCTGCCTGCCTTTGTCCACGGCCTGCAATTGATGGCATGCTTCTCTAAGGTATGTGGCGTGCTCGTTGATGTGTTCTGGGCCATTGTTTACCTGCGGCCACTTTGGTGCCATTACAACAAAATGAACGCGTTTTCACGCGTCAATTGATGTAATTGCCCAAGAGGATACGGGCAGACTGTAGAAATTGCAAAATATTACGCGTTTTCAAAAATTTGTTCTGAGCTGTTGGTGGTGTTTTTTCTGTGATTGATTGATTGATTCATAGACTGTCCCAACCGCCCGCAGGCAGTTATGCAGCGTACGACTATAAATACAGGTGTTCCCGCTCTTGCTTCTGAGACCAAGCTATTCGTGGTCCGAATTGCTTCCCTTCTGCTCAAGCTCAGATACCCCTCTACCAATAATCTTTCCTTGAGGGCTGGCAGCATCAGCTTAGTCATACATGTATGTCACGTGGTGGGTATTCAAACTCTCAGGCAGCTATGCAGCGCACTACTATACAGGAATTTCTGCTCTTTTCCTTTGGGAATTCAGCCATTCTTGCTAGAAACGTCCAGCTGAAGGTCCGATTATTTCTGCAAGAAGACAGCTATAGGCGTACACACTCACGAGAGGTTTCTATGGATATGATGATTCTCCTAAGTTGCTGTGCGACTCAGTTAGCTCAGCTTGAGATATTTCTAGACACATGAAGTTACTCGATTCGAGTGGGAGTTCTCAAGTCCCCACGCTTCACAAAGGTATTCTCTTGTATTACTTTCGACGAGCATAAAAAAGGGCCAAGTTACCGGCTACCCGTATTGGCGAAAGGGTTCGTATCAAAAATCACTTGTAAGGTTACGTACAGTGCACCAGAAGTTAGCATCGTTTCCCCCTAAGCCAGCACTCTTCCGCCAGCAGTCTCCCCAAGCCAGCAGTCTCCCTAAGCCAGTAGTCTCCCTAAGCCAGCAGTCTCCCTAAGCCAGTAGTCTCCCTAAGCCAGCAGTCTCCCTAAGCCAGTAGTCTCCCTAAACCAGCAGTCTCCCCAAGCCAGCAGTCTCCCTAAGCCAGTAGTCTCCCTAAGCCAGCAGTCTCCCTAAGCCAGCAGTCTCCCTAAGCCAGTAGTCTCCCTAAACCAGCAGTCTCCCTAAACCAGCAGTCTCCCTAAGCCAGTAGTCTCCCTAAACCAGCAGTCTCCCTAAGCCAGTAGTCTCCCTAAGCCAGTAGTCTCCCTAAACCAGCAGTCTCCCCAAGCCAGCAGTCTCCCTAAGCCAGTAGTCTCCCTAAGCCAGCAGTCTCCCTAAGCCAGCAGTCTCCCTAAGCCAGTAGTCTCCCTAAACCAGCAGTCTCCCTAAACCAGCAGTCTCCCTAAGCCAGTAGTCTCCCTAAACCAGCAGTCTCCCTAAGCCAGTAGTCTCCCTAAGCCAGTAGTCTCCCCAAGCCAGCAGTCTCCCTAAGCCAGTAGTTTCCCTAAGCCAGTAGTCTCCGATATTTTCACTTCCCCCCCTCATTCACAATGGTCTACTGGCATCAGTGACCCTCCATCCACGGCACACCCCGTCATATATTGACGGAGTATCGTGCATGAAGGTCCCGGGCCCCTTGCCTGACGCGACGTGTAGACCGTCAGACGTAATGCCGCCTCCACAAAGTGGGGCTCTCCAAACCAGGTGGCCACTTCTGGCCACGCTCGACTCTGCCCACATTCAGAGCTGGCAAGCAGGCCAAGCCGTATAGGAGTCCCAAACTATAAAAGACATATATGAAATTTCCCTCCCAAGAATAGAATCTGACATGACCGGGCCATGATGCCATTCTAAAGAATAAGGGACATCTGGTATGAATAGATTAAAGAATAGGGGATATTTTCCCTAGTGATGACATCTGGCATGACCAGACCATGCATACTCTGAAGAATAGGGGATTATCAGGCATGACCAGCCCACGGATGGCCTGAAGAATAGGGGATTTTTTTTCCCTGGGGATGATATTGGGCATGACCAGGCCATGGCTGCTCTGAAGAATAGGGGATATATCGGGCATGACCAGCCCACGGATGGTCTGAAGAATAGGGGATTTTTTTTCCCTGGGGATGACATTGGGCATGGCCAGGCCATGGCTGCTCTGAAGAATAGGGGATATACCGGGCATGACCAGCCCACGGATGGTCTGAAGAATAGGGGATTTTTTTTCCCTGGGGATGACATTGGGCATGACCAGGCCATGGCTGCTCTGAAGAATAGGGGATATATCGGGCATGACCAGCCCACGGATGGTCTGAAGAATAGGGGATATATCAGGCATGACCAGCCCACGGATGCTCTGAAGAATAGGGGATTATCAGGCATAACCAGCCCACGGATGCTCTGAAGAATAGGGGATTTTTTTTCCCTGGGGATGACATTGGGCATGACCAGGCCATGGCTGCTCTGAAGAATAGGGGATTATCAGGCATAACCAGCCCACGGATGGTCTGAAGAATAGGGGATTTTTTTTCCCTGGGGATGACATTGGGCATGACCAGGCCATGGATGCTCTGAAGAATAGGGGATATATCGGGCTTGACCAGCCTGTGGATGCTCTGAAGAATAGGTGATATATCGAGCATGACCAGGCCATGAATATTCTAATATGCCTTCCGATCTAAGCTAGTTCATTTCCTAGGTAGCGCCGGGTCACGTGGGCTAATAGGGTCTGTTCTCCACTCGTTGTAAATTACGACGAAAACGGAAGGTTTATTCAGCAGGACAATGCCTGTCTGGGTTAGTGTGTTTGCCAGACGACGGAGAGCAGCCCATATCATTCTGACATATCTGCTCTTTCACATTTCTTAATTCCTGCTAGTTTTACTCTACAGCTGATCGTGGAGAGCTGCTAGCACCCATACCCGCGTCCATCTTACCACAAACAAACTGATGACGGATAAACCTCAACCACCAGAATGGGTAAGTAGCACCAACTCCTTTGCAACTTAGTCACTAAGGACCGTCCTAGAGCATCGTTTCGTCGCGGCCCCTCAACTACCACCCGAGAGACTTCCGAATACACAGCACCGGGCACTATGCAAAACGATCGAGTGTCTGTACGCGCGAGTGGTTGTGCTGGAGGATATCATTAGCAGCGTCGGGGCAGAACATCACTTGAAGACGGCGTTTGGCGGTCGCATTTGTACCTTAAAGGAAATAAAAGCGTCGTATTGCCAAGATCAGACGTATCCGCGGCTATCGAAGTGCATTGCGCCACACTGCAGTCAAGCGTATCAATCTGCGGAGAACCTCCCAAGACACATTCGAGGCACATGGGATCGTAGCCACCAGTTCCACCGTGCGATACTTACCGGGACCTTCTGTTTTCAGTGTGGGATGGAATTTTCGGCAGGCACGTCCTCTCTCTCAAGGCACGAGAGGGACCGCCATGGGGAACCAAGCACGTCTAGGATTGAAACCTTCGGGCCGTTCCGCACCGCATGTGGGTTGTTCCGCTTGTCTGAATAGCTTATATACTAATGGAAACAGTCTCTCGTGGCGGAGGTCTCCCTTATATGCAGCCGAACGATAATCACGTCGCCGGCCGAAGCGTACGAAAAGCGAGTGAGGCGGGTAGTGAGCGAGATTCTAGCATTGGGCGCTTGGTGCAAGTGTCAACCGACGCTTCTACAGCTGAGAGGTGCGATGACGGTTCCGTTCTCCGGGAAGAAGTCATGAAGATATTCAAACAGTTTAGCACGAGAATTGAACGGGTTGAAAAGGACAATGACCACCTGCATGAAATCGTGGGCAGAAAGAAGAGGAAGCGCGGTGACGACAAAACATGCACGGCCCCAGCGAGACCTGGATCCATCAATGGCCACACCTCGGCGTTCGCCCGTGACCGTAGTAACTGCGCTTCAACCATGGCTTACTCGGCTCAAGTATCGTCATCCGACTCCGCAGCGTCCGTGGATGATTTTTGCAACCCAGGTTTCAACCCCTCCCCAGTACCGCCAGCTCAACTACAGCCATTCTCCAGCCATTCTATCTATGAGATCAACTCCGGTCCCGATCCCTTCCCACTACCGCTCACCAACGTTAACGGATCGATATACCCAGCTCAGCTACAACCATTCTCCCGTTCTATCTATGAGATTGGCCCCGGACCCAATCCTTCCCAGGTCCCCCCTACCGGTACCGATGGATCTATCTACCCAGCCCTATTGTTTCCATTCCCCTCCGAGTCCATCTACGGATGCCCCTCACCTAACTTCTAGCAAACCGGGCAATCCTCCATCTCCTCCGCCTGGTTGGCGCGCGACGTTGAAGAGTCGCGTCCGTTTTGACACAGTAATACCAGCAAACTTTCTATGAAGAATAGTATTTGCAGTTTTATGAAAATCCCATTGCCATAATGCTAGACCTGTCTATTTCAGATGCACGTTATTTCCTTCCAGGTTCCCCAATGAGTGCCCCATACTATCCTAACAATCCCATGTAGACCACCGATACACATACCCATGGTGCTCACCAAGGGTGGTCCGACCGATAATAATTTACCACGTATAGGTCCGTTTTGGCCTCCGGCTCGGGAAGCTGTCGTAATAGCCAACCACTGCATATGATCCTGTAAGACGTTAATAGCAGGCTTGTTGTTCGAGGCTTGGGTTCCACGTACACGTCTCCACCGGTGGCTGCAATGGCCGTTGGTAGATCACCCTTGCTGCCTCCTATATCGTATTGCCACCTCCACTGCGACTTATTATCTTTGCCGAAGAGATGATAGCAAGTCAAGCCAAGAACCTCATCTTTCTTATCTGCTAGGGTCTCCCCCCGAGGGAAGCGCTCAAATGGGGAGTTTTTCAGTCGGGAAGCGGGCATCAGGATAGCGAGGTTTTGTCTGAAGGGCTGCGGGCTCACTCCAGCGAGGAGGTGGTTGACGTGCTAGGTTCCTTCAGCCAAGTTAAAGAGAGGCTGAGAGCGGAGATTCTCACCTGATTGCTCGCCACCCGCTCAATGGAGTTTGTATCTGTGGCATCCTTCAGCACGATCCATCCATCGTTGATGAGTGCCTGTAAGACTCTGTCGAAGTCCCGGTAGAGGTCTAGTATGTCACCAGATCTGACCAAAACGTTGGTGTCCATGTTCACCCTGACCTGCTTGCAAACATCGCGGCGCGGGGCTTCACTGAGGGGTGACGATGCCGGATGCTGATTGAATGACACGTGACATAACTTAGTCTTGGCATCGTGGGTTCGGACACGACCGTTGATATCCTGGCCCATTATTAGCCCTTGAATGAGTTGTCGATACACCAGGGGTGTGCGGAGGGAAAACCAACCCTTACCTTCCGAACCCTGGAACGGCTTGTTCTCCTTACCAGCATAGAAACCATCTTGCGGACACGATTTGTGGTTTGGAAGACACAGAAGTCGGTTGGGGATTAAGAAGACGAACAGAGCGAGCGTTGTTAGTTCTAGAAAACCTTTGCTCGTGGCGGGGGCATCGGTGGGTTGTCTGCTTTTTAAGTGTGCGAATATCGGTCGCTAACTTCATGCCCGATTGGCAAATTCATTTGGCAAACAAAGTCGAGCCTTGCATGAGGCAGCCGGTTGCCTGGATTCCTCCTCAACACACCGCCCTCCTTGCAGGATGCAGATGTCTACGCTAATTGGCGATCGAGTGGCCTTGGCAGCGGGACATTAAACATAGCTGTTACAGCGCCGTCGATGACAGCAGTATGCCCTCCCCACAGGAAAGGATGAATAACTACGTGATTAGGATATAAGCTATCTAAAAGCAGATACAGAACTCGAACATGCTCCCGATTCTCTTCACAATTCCCGACCTTGCCGTGTATGATCCGAACCAGAGCAAGTCATCAGCGTTTGAAGTTACTCTCTGCAAGCAAGCCTCGTATCGGGAAGATGCTTCGTGCCGACGGAGACTTTCAACGGACAACTGATACTCCCTGTAAATGGGATATATAAAAGGCAACGCAGGCTTTCCCGTCTCCCTCATGTCCCTCAAATGGTCGCGACACGCGCGAAAGTTACCCTCATATTCGACAATTCTGCGCAGCTCCGGTGGGATCATTGTTGCATCGTAGTCAGCAACCCTCAGACCTATCACAATTGCAGTCACTCCATGAAAGTTTCGTTGCTTGTACAGACACTTTTGATACGATGTTAGCAGTACTCCGAAGCGAAGAGCTGCAATGACCAGCTTACCATGGCAAGTTCGACCAAGGGACCACCGTATCTCAGGTCCTTTCGAAGGCATTCGGTTGTATCTTCATTTCGATGACGCCAAGAGTGACCCAGGAGACGCCGCCACTCGTCTCGCTCGGAAGGCATGAGGGCGTACGCGGCTTGAAAGCATCTCAAGTCTTCGTTTGTGATGCGGCTGGCTAGTGACTCTGGCGACATGTCTCTGATTCCCCGGAAGAACATCAAGTCGGTCCGGAAGCTAGACACCGGATCGATGTCTCGTTCAGTGTCGTAGGTACTCTGGAAGCGGGTGTTCAGGAGATAAAATTCGTCCGCGTTCAAGCGGCGGGGTCGGCGACCGAAGACATCAGCAAGAGGGTCAATGATGAACCCGATATTAAGATCATGGGTCAAACATTTCCACGACTGGGTGTTCTGGATGCAGCCAGACATCACTGCTCGTGCAAGAGGGTTTACTCCGAGAACGATCTGTCTCCAGTGTCAGCACGCAATACAGATGAAGTGCTCCAGTTCTGGCGGACCGTTTGAAGTTCATTCTTGATCCGCAGTGGCTCGGGACACCTCCGAAGAAACCTATTGAGTCGAATACGGAGCACCCCGAGGTACACCAAGAACATATCCATCACGTCTGTGTCGCGCCCAACCGCTTTTAGAAGCCACGCTGCGAATGGGACCTGTAAAATGACCGACCTGGTCTCCTTATCGATCGCACGGGCTACAGCAGGGGCTACACCATGGGCATCGGTCGTGTTCACTCCCGTCAGTGGATTTTCCCTATAGGGAAAATCCGTCTTTGCTATGGACTGCTCCAAGTTGTCGAGACTTAACCAGCGGGCGGAGGCATGCATTCTGAATCGATCGCGATGATACCTGAAAGCTCATTAGTCTGGCGGAAAAAATAAGATCAGTGATTTCAGATGAAAAATGACAATGACAGGACAGCTGAGGAGCAACATCTGCCGTATATATTTTGGAAAATGCCTGGTGAATCCTGGCACGAAGCCAGAGCTGTGACACATCCCCGACCTCGAAATCCTGATCACCACAGCGGATCATTGTTTTTCCAACGCCAAGACCATCCCAATCAGGAAATTTGTGAGGGATCATTGTTTTTCCAACGCCAAGGCCATCCCAATCAGGATACAGCGGTGATCGCAGGGGTTCAATGTGAATTTACAACGCCACGACCGTTCCAGGGAGAAGGATCGCTGCTGCTCCTGGATAACAGGAGTTTAATTGGCAGCAAAGTGCAGGGACTTCCGTGTTGGAACTCACGCGCCTCCGGTTCACAAAAAGCAACCATAGAAACAACCGAGCAATCCTGGCATTTCGGTTAGCCTGCCGCCGAGGATGGCTTGATGGAAGGGAACATAAAAGGAGAACTCACTCCCATTGCATTATGCGGCCACCTGCATATCTCCTTCAATTCTCGAATTACACCGGAATGGCAAGAGGCGCCTACGACACCACTGGAGTCCCAAACCACAACCTCCTCCCAAGCCGAGATAGGTTTTCACATACACTCGGTCGCGATAGTATAATGAACCATGGCGGTCAAAAACGGATTGAGCGTTCCTCAGCTGTTGTGTGCTACTCGCGATTGTGGGACCGCGCAGCACCTCGAGGGTGTTGGACATTTCCCCGAACCACACATCGAAAGGACATCACCAATGTTGCAGCCACCTCCAACCGACATTCGAGAGAAATTCCTGGCCACCGCCGTTGCCTCACAGTTTCCCAGACACTATCACAGCACTTTCTCACACTCCATCACTCAAACCCAACTGGACAATAACTCGGGATCCCTGCAGGGCCCGATACCCATACAAGCTCCCTACTTTCGTGCTCGCGATCCTCCTCCGCTCATTGCCTCACAGTATGAAAGTACACCGCGGTCGTCCTACAGCCTGGTTCACCAAACGCGGCCGCCATTAACACAATGCGGTTGCCAACTATATCCCGCTGATAATTCTCTTCCTCCCTTGGAACAGGGTGGATTGAGGAGGTCATTAGCACGCTCAGGGGATATCGGGCTGCATTCAAAGCAAATATCTCCACCGATAATGTCACAGACAGCAACAGAATCGGCGCAAAGATGGAGAGGTATAATTAATGTCGATATGGAATCCGGATCACGGAAAGCGATGGAGATACGGCAAAAGAATAGCCTCGCCTCTAAAAAGTTTCGCCAGCGCAAGAAGGTTCAGAAAGAGGAAATGAAGAAGATTATCGAGAAATTGACCGAAGAGCGTGATCATTTTCGGCATTTATGTCATCAGTTGTTGGAGAAGGAGCAGGGAAGCAGAATCATCAAACACTCCGCCAGTATGCCTTCATTCAAACCGGCTACGTCTTGAACTGATTTCGTATTTTTCTTCCGTATAGAGTAGGAACGAAATCAATACTTTCCTATTAAGTGGAGATATGAAAATAAAAGACAAGCGACATACCCAACCCCTATGACGACACTCACTTGTTGAATTGATGAAGTTGTTTTGCTATATTCATTCAAAGAGTTCATCTCATTAAAATTGTTGCCACTGGTCATGTTTTTAAAAACTCTCTGGGATAAAATCGATGACGCTGTCTGCAACCACAAAAGCCACCATCCGTCAGGCGATGAAGGGCGAATGGGAAGCATTCTGGGAACAGGCAAAACATGAAACCAGTAAACAGAAGTTGAGGAGGGTCAGGAAGACCTAACAAGGCAGAGATACAGAACAGATAGGAAGACTATGAATAGAGGAAGCTCAAGCGGAAAAGAAGTGATTCTTGCAGAAATAACCGGCCCCAACTGGAAGCTTTCGGCAAGAATAACTGAATTTCCAAGGAAAAGAGCAGAAACTCCTGTATGTATAGTAGTGCGCTGCATAGCTGCCTGAGGGCGGCTGGGACAGTCTATGAATAAATCAATCAATCAATCAATCAGTTCGCTTCGTACTTCATTGACGGCCGACTCGATTGACGGCCGTTCATCTCAGTCGGCCGTCATCTCAGTCGGCCTAAAGAATAGTGGAGAATATTTTCCCCTGGGGACGACATTGGGCATGACCAGGCCATGAATATTCTAATATACCTTCCGGTTTAAATCAGTTCATTTCGTTTGGTTACCAGTACTCTGCTGAGCCTTACTAGAACCCCACAAGGGAGATGGATATTACAGGTCATGTAAACAATTCCATCTAATTGAACAATAGTCAATGGTGCATCTCCCGAGTTCCCATAGTGCGGGTCAATTTGTTCAAATGATTCTCTCTGAAAGGGACTGTAGCTGTCACCCTTCAGGAAAATATAGGGCCAGTCATAATTATGAATCTTGCTGTTTTAAAGTCAAAAAGCACGTAATTTGAAACGAGCGTGCTACAAGTGAGTGATCCTGTGGTGAGCCCCGCTAGCACACTAGTCAGCCAGCTAAAAAACTGTAGATTTACGCCTCCGAGATGAGAGACGAGAGGTTATGTGGACATGTCTTGGGTGCGTGGGGTAAATTGATACAATAATGAACTCTTTGGGGGGGTATATGGCCCGGCATTCCCTATTCGATCACTCAGACATCTAAACAAATGGCCTACGGGTCATGTGGGCTAAAAAGAAGTGCGAGCCGAAAAGGGGTTGCAGGCCGAAAGGGAATGCGAGCCGGAAAACAAAAAAGGGCGGGCCAGACGGAGCGCCAAAGAACCCAGCAAGGCTTGGCTTGGCTTCGACTCAGCAATCAAACATGTAGACCTCCAACTCCCCCGCCTCTTTCCACCACCCATGATTTCAATATTAGACGCGAGGTTGGCCATAAAAATCTCTACCTAGTAGCTCTTGATAACACCAGTGATAACCTGACGACACATTCCGCAGGTTGCGCCAATGGGGGGGAAGGCATTCTGGGCAATACCGGTGTCCACACAGAAGGGTCCTCCACCCTGATGGGATGGTATAACAGATCTGACATTGACATTGATGCTTCAGTTCACGGACTTCAGTCTCGAGTCTGTCGACCAGCCCATTCTTCCTAGTGATTTCTGCACGCAGGTGCTGCACTTCTTCTTCCAGCGCTTTTCCCTTCGCATGCTCCGCCTCGAAAATGTTATGAATTCCCTGGTTCGCGGTTTCCTATCTCAATATCAGCAAAGGAAAAGGCCCCACCATGTGCCATACGAGGAAGAGTCTTACCAAAACCGTGCCCAAGTTGGGTAAGTTGGGAATTTTACGTTTTTTCGGTGGCTGCCTCATTTCGGAGGGCGCTGGGTCATCAAATAGAGCCTCATACACCGGATAGCTGTAGTCTGTGCGGGGTCTCTTTCTTCGCAGCTTTCGTGCCGGGGGCTGGTGTTCATCCATCTCCGCATCTGAACTGATGATGATGGTGCTACGAAGCCCGTCGCGGGGACTATCAGCTGACGCCATGATTGAAGGATGGTTGTGCCCCGGAAATGCGGCTCACTAGGAACGGCTCGTGCTGCAAGGAGGTGACTCCGGATTCGAGGCTGTGGGTAGGAAAAGGAAGAACCCTGAAGAGCTCCAGTGGGGGGGAAATAGGTTCTTTTAGGTTCGCTCGGTCGTCTTCGACAAGGGCCTCTCGGCGGGTTTCAGTCGCGGCGGTGTAGGATGGGAAGTAGGAAAGGAATTGAAAGAAAGATGGATCCAAGGGGGGAGGGAGGCCCTCTATATACACCAGGAAATGGGGGGCCGTCACGGGGTGCTCGTCTCGGGTTGCACTCTCCAGGCATTGAAGCACGGCGCAGCAGCCAACAATACCCGAGGACGAAGTCTGAAAATAGAACTCATGCAGCAACGGCATCCCTTCCACGGCTGTCGCATGCGAATCACCGCGGGGTGGAGGAGGGGGCCAAGAGGGTGGGTATCATTCGGCTGTGGCTGCGTACAGTTGGCCCCTGAGGAGAAAGATAAGGGTGCGGTCAGGCGAGGCCACCCTCACCTGCCTACCAAGGGCCGTTGATGAACGGCTTGGAGAGGCAGGCCGCCTTTTATGGTCGATCACGATATCACTTTCATGTACATGGATGAGCATTACGTCTCACCCTCCGGGGCTACAGATGCTACTATGACACCAGCGGGTTCGGCTGTACGCATTCCCCTCTCTTGTTTCCGAAGCGTAGATACCCGCTGGCGCAGCGCCGATTCCGTCCTTGCTGGAAAACACCTCTCCACCTCCGGCCAGGGTCGGCGCTCCTCCACCATGCTCAGGAGCCGTGCGTCCTCCTCGGGGAGCCATCGCCACAGCTTGTCTCTGTGACCCTTTCTCCCCTCGCCGCGCTCACGCTGAGTTTCTCCGACCTTGTGAGGAGCGGAGCGACCGGCTGACCGCACACTCCCGTCTCCCCACATTGCCGGCGCTGAGTCGGGCATGCAACTCGCCAAGGCACCTTCAAACAGCCAAGAAAGGAACTGCAGACGCTCGTCGAGCTGCAGCGACAGGAAATGGGAACGAAGGGCTGTGGAGGGACCTTCCATAGACGATACAGAGGCAACGTGAAGCCGCTTTGCGGCCGGTTCTTCTGGCTGCTGTGGCCCTCGTTTGCGTCTCCTGGCCTGTGCGTCGCTGAGGAAGTCGTCGCTCGTGCTGTAGGAGCAAGGCACATCAACGTCGGTGCTGCAACGGGCGGGGTGAATCTGCCGATGATCCAGAACGTGAGTGTCATCATCCGTTTGAGAATTTCTATTCCAGCTGTCAGGCCTCTCTCTGGATCCTTGGTGATGGTTGGGGGTGTCACAGGACATAGACAGGGGAGGTTCAGGATATGGATAAGTGGCCTTTGGGCTTGCGAGATCATCACCTTGCTGGACAGGCCGGCGAAGGTCACTAGTGCCCCAGGACGCGTCGTCGGCAAGAATCGCTGGGTCAATGGGGATGTTGTTCTGGAGATCCGGGAGCCCGAAGAAATCTTCCAAGCTACCATCTGAGCTGGTTACACTGGGCGACGACGGATCAGCCCGTGTGGCGCCTCTCCCAAGGGGAGGCAGCTCGATCGGCGTGTCAGAGATATTACCTCGGACATCACGGGATGAAGTGGGATGTGAATTTGAGGTGTGATGTGCAGGTTCATGGAGAGATGATACGCCATGCCGGGGATTCTTCGAACTGGGTGATGGTATAGACATCTTCCTTGATTGAGAGGGGGAGCTCAACGGCGAACACGGCTGAACATCGCAGCTGATGGGCACGCAGACTTCGGCCGGCGGCTTCAGAGGAAGGCCATGCTTGTGGGATAGCAGAGCGCTGGCAGAGGCATCACAACGTGGGGCTGGGGGAGGGGGAGGGGGAGGGGCAGGGCGGCTTCTGGGCTCTAGAGCGCGAGAATTGGGGCATTTGCGCAGTGAGAATGGCTTGGGGTGCCGCGGACGCCGCGGCGCCCACGGCTTGAAGTTGTTCACATGAAAAAACGCGAGGGCCATCTGGATAGGGGATTGGGGATTTGAGGGGGAAGATTTTGAGGGATTTTGAGTCAGGAGCGATCAGGGGAGCAGAAAGGAAAGCGGGAATCGAGCCAGAGGGAAGGGCGTGCGCGGGGTGAGAAAAACAGATCGCAAAGTGCCAGTATCTTGAAAATTCTGTAGGAGGCTCGGCCACCCTTTATAGCTCCTCTCAGCGCAGAGGCTCCATCGCTGCACAGTCTCACATCTCCCATTGGAGATTGAGCAGACGGGGCGAAGGGGCGAATTCCTCCGATCCTTGGATCCCCCCCCCTGAGACTGCTGACGCGTCCCGTGCTGGCCAAAGAGCCACCTGAAGCCCGATGACCAGTGGCCTGCTCCAATCGCGTTTGGCCATTCACCACTTGCAGCCTTCACATGTCCAGAGCATGCAATCCTGACACCGCCCTGCCCGCCTTGGTCCCCGTCCGACCTGCAGGCGCACACCAGCGCAAATGAAATGCGGCATTTTTGCTATTGGCCCGCGGAAAGAAATTGTGACGATGGCAGTCAGCCTTGGTGGCTCAAAGGGCGATGCAACCCACATCGCTCAGGCCCAGCAAGCACTCTGGGCCCCAGGCCATCCCAATACGCTCGATCGGCTGCCGCCTCCTCCGTCTTCGCACGCAGTCCCACCGACGGAAGGGGTTTCAAGACAAGCCGAGTCTTGAAAAGAAGACCTTCCAACGAGTTAAAATAGAAAAAAATTGGAAGATGAAAATGAAAATTGAAAATAGAAGAATAAATCAACCGGGGAGTAGAAATTTCTGCTGCTGGGAATCACCGAACGCGCGGCACAGCGAAAGGCACACTTGCAGAAAAACAGGGGGTGCGGACGCCCCGGCAGCCTCGATCCCAGAGTCAAGCGGGGTAGCATCGCGAAGGGGCGACGTGGAGGGCTCAGAGGCCAACCAGGCGGTATCAGAACAGCGGCTCGACGACTCCGCGGGCGCAGGATCCAAGACGGGTGAGGGCCGGATAAGACGGCACCATCCCTGGCAGGGGGGGAAACGGAGAAGGGGGCAGTGCACGCGATCGCCAGCGCCAGAGCCAGAGCCCAGGGCGAGGGCGAGCGAGAAAGAGAAATGAAGAAGGAAGGAAGGAGGGAGTGTGTGGTCGTTGCGAGGGGGCGCGCGACGGGTTTTTATAGATCGCGGCGTCCGTTGAAGCGGCGTGAGAAGGCGCAAAAGCGGCGAGGGTCCGGCCATCCCCGAAACGGCAACGGTGCTGCCGCATCGGGCCTCGCGCGCACGACGGACCAATGGCGAGGGCGCTCGGCGGGCTGGGCGCCCCGCTAACCGGCACAAAAGATACTATTTTAAAATAAAATACACAGTCTATATTTATAAATATATTTATAAATATTGATTATTTCTATATTAAAATTAAATATTTTATAGATTTTAAATATTTTTAATAGCATATAATATTTTATTTAAAAATTCTTATTTATTATTTATTCATTTAGAATTTTATATAATAATATATATTTTAAAATATTATTTTTGTAATAACTGTGTATTATTTATACTTTAAAAATGTAATTTAAATAAATTATTATATTAAATTATTTAAATATATTTATATTTAATAAATTATTTTTTAAAATTTAAAATTTCAAGAATTTTCAATATTTTACTTGTAATTTATAAAAAAATTATAATAAAAAAATAAAAAATTATTCTTAAAAATTAAAATATAGAATTTTTATATTAAATAATTTAATATTTATTAAATTATAATATATTTATATAAGAATTATAATTTTTAATAATATATAATATATATTTCTTAATTTATAATCAAATATTATATATTTTATTTCACTGTATTTTATTTTATAATTGAATCTATATTTTAATTAATTTTAACTATATTATAATAATTTTGAATTATATTATAATATAAATCTTGATATTTATAAATTACAAATTAAAAATTAAAAATAATGAATATTCATTGAGATATTAACATTTGAAGTTGACTGTAATTGATTTACAAAGGCGAGCGTTGGGTGGAAACGAGCGTTAGGTGGTTGATTACGTTATCCTGAGGCGAACAAAACTTAAAATGAGCAGATGGAGAAACCAATTCTGATAATGCTTTGAGGTAAAAGTACATGAACGATTATTCACAGCTACCTTACGTTTCTTCAGTATAGGGATGGATCAGCATGCGGCAACAGGGGAAAATGCGGAAGAATGGGAAGGGGATTTTGATCCCCTTGCAGATCCGGAGGAACGACGAGTGCTGTTTGCTGCCCTCGATTCTTTCAGGTATGCTTTTTGATTCCTATTTTTTGTTTGTTCGGCTCGATTTTCGCCCACTTAACGAGGCAGTTCGATCCCTCTAGTGAAATGAAAATTGATGATGTAGAACTTTTGTCATCGTAATTACCCTGCATTAATTGTTGAGTTAAAGCCTGGAGAACCATATTTGCATGCAACTATAATGTAGAAAACGATATATTTATGTATCAAATTATGTACTTCTTACTAAAAATCCCAGCTGACAGCCACCCTAGACAGTATCGAAGGAGCGCGCATTCGCACACTACCCACCGACGACGTCAATCATTTTATGCCTTACCGTCGGCCCATTGGCAAATGCTAGCAAGGCCTCCCTTTTCTATTTTGGACACTTTCAACCAAATTGATGACGCAATTGATGCGAACGCAGAGATCGCGGCTGCGATTCTATCTTTCGGCCTGAAAGCCTTCTCCCTACCCGCTAACCCAGACACCAATGACGGCCAAAGGAACTGGCAGAATACCGCTACGAGCTCGGACATTAACAAAGCCCATTCAACTGTCAGGCAATTTTACCGGGATTGGAGTGCCGAGGGGTTATTGGAACGGGAAACGTGTTATAAGCCAGTTATGGCTGATCTGGAAGAGCTGTTTTGCTCCCAACCGCACATTAAGATACTTGTTCCTGGTGCTGGTCTTGGACGTCTTGTGTTCGACCTTTGCGCTGCTGGGTATCACGCAGAGGGGAACGAAATTTCTTACCACCAACTCCTGGCCAGTAACTGGGCATTAAACCATACGGTGCGGGCCAATGAATACCCTTTGTATCCCTTTGCACTGCAGTTCTCGAATCTGAAGTCTCGGAAACAGCAGCTGAAAAAGGTCATGATTCCTGATGTCCATCCCGCTTCAGTCGTCGCTGCTCAAATGGATGGGCCTGATGATGGGAGAGGGGTGGGCTCGATGAGCATGTCTGCAGCAGATTTCGTAATTCAGTATAACAGCAAATCAAAAGAGGATGTATTTCACGCCGTTGCGACCGTTTTCTTCATCGATACAGCCCCAAATTTGATACGGTACATTGAGGCCATCCGCAATTGTCTGCAACCGGGTGGGTACTGGATAAACATTGGGCCGCTCCTCTGGCACTGGGAAGATAGGCCTTTAAATAAAGAGTCTTCTCAAGGAGAAGTGACTCAGTCGACGGGAGCTGTGGACTCGGATAAACGCCATGAAGGGATTGGGGAACCTGGGCATGTAGAATTAACGGAGGAGGAAGTCATTAAGCTTATCCAACAATTTGGATTCGAATTGGTCAAGAGAGACTCCGGAAATACCTGGTGTGGTTACATCCAGGACCCGGAGAGCATGTTGCAAAATCTATATAGACCTGCGCACTGGGTGGTAAGGAAGGTTGCAAAGTTATGATGAGAAGATTTATGTTGGGGATGTTGGTGCCCCAAATGAACACAGATAGGAAATGGATCGTAGCATAGCGGATATGTAAATCCGGTTAGCCTTATTGAAAGGTTTTGAGGGAGGGGATTGCTATCTGAGGGCTTCGGCCTCCCATGGAAGTGAGTCTGGACAAGCCATCCAGTTTCTGCTAGTTTGGACACCGCTCTTGCCTTACATCCTCTGATAGTATGTGTCTATACATTTTCCGCAGCTTCGTGGGTAGCAAGTTGTTTGCTTGCAGCTATGGATTCTAGATAACTGCTTAATTACCGCGAGAATCAATATTCCATGCGACCTCAGCAGAAAGACGGGGTGGTGTCATTATCAAGCGTCTTCAAAGTTCAACCCACTAGCAAGAGCCAGAGAATTGGGAAGCAAAAAAGCAGTCTATTAGAACCAGCGGCCTTCTCGATATAAATTCTACTTGTTTTTCCTCATACCAAATTGCCTCGCCGATTTTCATACGACTGGTTCACGGCAGCCAATACATCCCCTTTGTCTCCTGTTTAACTCCATGCATGAGGAATTCTGAGATCCACGTTCGGTAGGCGAGAACATGCTGAATGCTGAATGCGGTGCTGAGCTCACACCTCCCTTCTCTTCATCGCCATGAAGAAGAATTCGCCAGTAGTACGCATGCTTTCAGACGCAAATATGTCCACCTTAGCCTATTTCGCAAGCCCATTTTCCTATAACAAAAATAACGAAACAACAAGCTAAATTCCAAGCAAAGCTGATGAAAGGGAGGGAAACGCTCCTCAACCAGCTGATTGACAATATTGTTCGGGGGCCCAAAAGCTCGAATAGGCAAATAAATGCAAGCAGGAAGAAATGGAAAATAGAAAAAGGAGCACGCATAAAATGAAACGGGCCACAAACGCACAACGCTGGTCACCTATGCGGTCACGTACGGATCCGAAAGAAATTGAGAAAAAAAAAAAAAAAATCCGAGATTCTAGCAACGGAAATGACTCGTTTGACTTTAAAGGGGCCTATTACAAACGACTTGGTAGCTGTTGATTTTAGAATAAACGAAGATTCACTGTTTCGGTTTGGGAAGATTAGTGAAACGACAGATCTCGAGAGATTACCGTCGACCCAGACACGGATAAGAAGAGAAAATAACATTCTTCTTTTGTGTTTTTCTCCGCGATTTCAAAAAAGAAATGGGGAAGGTACTCCAATCCTCTATTCCCGGCGGTGGAAACCAAGGCTGGGCAAGAAGCCAGGCTTCGATATCAATTGCACGGATTATGTGAGGTACAGGGTATGTAACGTATATACAGTACATACAGACATAAGCAGCGCCATCACTCTCTAAAATTCAAGGTTCATAATATGGAAGTAGAAAAGGTCAGGCTGCTCAGAATGTCTTCAGTTCAATTACCATACTCAATCGAATGGAGGCATGTCGCATTGTTGATTATGTTGTCCAGCCTCCGAAATCCTTTTGAAAGCTGGAAAGTTCGAGAAGAAAGACTTCATCCGAAAGCGGAAGTACCACACAAAGGGGAGGAACCCTTGATCGGATAATGGTGATTTGAACAAGGAATGTATGTCTTTGAGTCCTCAGCTGGCCGCAGCTTATTGTTGGTTAGTTTCAGGGCCCTAAAGTTTCAATCGTACATACACAGTAGTATATCCCGCAAAGCCAAGTTCGACATCGTTGCCACAGGAAACGACGCCTGTGAAATGAACCAAGAATTTAATAAGTGTAAAAGATCTAAAGAGGAAATTGGAAATTGGATATTGACAAGGGCAGCTTGAGAGGATAATAAATAGCGCGATCTTTCACGATGAACTGGAATTTTTTGGATCATGGCTCCAATTTAGGCAAGACGGATGGGGGATCCCGGATGCACTCGTTTAAAATTTTCAACACCCAACACCAGGATGGCTCCTCAGAAGCTCATTGATCGGTTTGGTAGCAATGACAGGTTGTGGGCTGCATGAAGTTGCATCCTGTTCAGCCTCAGAGAGAAGGCACGGACGAATGAGAGTCGCGCCTGGTAAACAAACATCACGCCGCCGCCTGAATGGGCTGTCACTGTCCAGTATCAAGGGTTCTGGAGAAAGGGTGGGGCAATCTATGCTTGGAGCCTCCCCCAGGAGTGGATATCGAGGATTCGTCGGGCCTTGGTCGGTTTTTGACCACCTGCTTCTCCCGGGGCGGCGCGCAAAATGACCCAAAGGAAAGGATCCAACAAAGTTCGATCGGGAGCCGTTAGTAAGGCGCGGACCAGCATATTATTGGGGAGATGTTATGTTTTCCCAACCTCCCGTTTGTTAGAGGTTTTTCTTTTGTTAACTAATTCCCGGATGTTGTTACAAGGTTGAGCCTCAAAATATTAAGGACTATTTTATCGGGATTCTGACGCCTTGGCAGGGCACACGTCTGGCATTATTCATTACGGGTACGGAGAAGTTACATAGTACACACATACCATCGGGTCGGGGTGGAATTATTCAGGCTACCTACTCTACGAACTGCGAGGCAAAGCAATGTCCATGAAGACAAGGCAAGATTGTCTTCTCGTGCGTGCAATTGATGCTGGCTCCTTTAAGGAGAGGCATTGGTAAGTAATATTTAAGATCTGAGTCAGTAATAAATGTCCATTGTTACCGTACAGCCGTATACATCAGTGCCCCGTGGTAAAAATAGTAACCCGTTCTATTTTTGCACCGAGACGCGCAGGGACTAGATAGAATAACCCTTGGATGATGGATGGGCGAGATAAATGAGGATGTAAGCGGCGAGAGCCAAAGAGTCCCAATTCCCACGTAGTCAATGGCTGCCGGCTTCAGACGGAGGATGAAGATAAAGATGGCTTGCGATTGTCAGGTAACAGCACAAAGAGGAACAAGAGCGTACATGTAACCTCCGTAGGAGCAGAACACAACGATTAGAGGCTAGCAATTCTGGTCCATGTTCAGACACTGCAGAGAGACGAAAGCCATTGCGGCCCAGACATGCTGTTTTTCTCCGGGCTACAACAATCATCCTCGCAGGTCCTTGCATCAAGGATACAAGAAGTCACTGAGTTACAAACAAGTCCAATGCTGACACCAAGCAACCCCTTTGCCGCGCTTAATTAACTGGCTAGTTAACTAGTTAACCCATCCCCCCCTCGTTTTACATAATCCACGCTTCGCAGGTAATTTTCAAAAATAAATAATACAGACACGTTGGAGGATTCGGACTAGTCCAACGAAGCGTCGTCGCTCTTTTTTTTTTTGTTCATCATCATCTCAGTCAAAGTATTTTCCCTTTTGTTGTGCAAGCCCAGTTACAAACAGCAGTTCTCATCGTTGCCAACTCCACCACGATTGTTTGCACTACCCCTCTGGAGACACAGGTCCCATCATCACTCACGCAGAAACGGCATCTGATACCAGGATCCTCGTGGAATCGAGACACACTCGCAACCCAGACAAGCAGAAGGCAGGAGGAGCAAAGACCTGGATGGTAAATATCCGCTTGTTCGCACCACTTTTGCTTCCCTCGCATGCTCGTCCAATGATCCGATTGCGACGGTATTTCTAAACACAACAAGGTCGAGACCTGAGTACCAGGAAGCTGCACGCAGAACAGGATCCAGCGACGGTGAACCTTCAGCTTATTGTTATTTATTTTGTTATTTATTGCCATTTTTAACTTTTTTATTGCTGCGGTGTCTGTCGAGCCTTGTCCTGTCCAGGTCGACGACCTTGTAATCATTACCAAACTCATAATTACCATCATCCCGCTGCCGGGCCTGGTCCGTACGGTACACTGCCACCAATACAACGGAATACCCACCGCCTGCTCTCACTTTCGGGTCCTCCCTCGCCTCTTTTTCGTCTTTCCCCCCTCCGCTCCTCTGCTGGACCGCCTTCCCTCCTTTCCTTATAGTCTCCGCGAGCGCCTGTCTGTCATTTCCAGCCCTCTATTGTTGTGGATGTGATGAGCTCCCGATTCAAATCTTTTGCTTTTGGAACAAAACGCAAGACTGCTTCCCCGCCAAATCCTACTCCTGCCAGCGGCGCAACCCACTCCCCTCCACCAGATGCCAACTCCTCTTCCGCCAGCCTTCCGATGAACAACCCCAATCAACTAGGTCGGCCACCGAGCTACACCTATAACGCTGGTGCTGGGCGGCCTACAAGCCCTATGCCTCCAGCGCAACAATTACCCCCTCCTATCAACACCGGAATTGCTTATCCCCAGGCTGGTGCTCCCCAGAATCGCCGGGGCCCCCCAACCACCAGGCTACGGAGGCTATCCTTCCCACGCCCCTCATGGCTTACAGCAGCAGCAGCAGCCAATATCTACATATGGACGCACGCACGCTGGCGGCGAACTTGATGCAACCGGCCGAAGCAAGGCTCAGCTTATTGTAGGAATAGATTTTGGAACTACATTTTCGGGCGTCGCGTTCGCATTTGTTACCAACACAGAAGCGCGAGAGGACATAATCACGGAGTGGCCTGGTGCTGGAGCTCACGCAAAGCAAAAGGTATGCCCTCCCGTAACGTTCAATGTTCCTCCCCTTGGCGACTAAATCTTTTGGCTTTGGGTGATTTTTCCTACCCCAAACTTATAAATAACTCTCGCGACCTTGAGGCGACTGACATGGCTTATTTACCCCTTCTTTTTCACTCGTGGAAAATGTGTAGATTCCAACTGTCCTTTACTACGATCAGTATCAGAAAGTTGTTGGATGGGGCCCTGATATTGCTGATGCTCTTGCCCCTACGGGCTACCCGAAGCAAGGTGTTCAGAAAGTGGAGTGGTTCAAATTACAGCTGATGCTCTCTGGAAACACCTATATCGATCCAATTAATCTACCTCCCCTTCCCCCCGGTAAGTCAGAAATCGATGTTGCAGCAGATTACCTAATGAAATTGCGCGGTGCCATGCGAAATCAATTACAAAAGACCTTGGGTGAAGTATTTAATCGAGAGGAACGAAATATTCGATATTTCTTGACCGTCCCTGCTATCTGGAATGATGCTGGCAAGGCTGCTACCCGCGCTGCCGCAATCGCCGCTGGGTTTTTGCGGGACGAGAATGATAATCGTCTAACCTTGATCACGGAACCCGAAGCTGCCGCGATGTTTTGCGCCAAAGCCGGCTTACTGAATCTGAAAATTCATGATGCAATTCTGATCGTTGATTGTGGAGGCGGGACAGTCGACTTGATCGCGTATGAAGTAGAGGAAGAAACCCCCTTCACAGTGGCTGAGTGCACCGCAGGCTCTGGAGATTCGTGCGGGTCAACGGCTCTTAACCGCAATTTTAGCAATATCCTTCGAGCAAAAATTAGAAAAATGAAACTTCCTGATGGCTCAAGAACTGCAGGAAGAGTTTACGCCAAGTGTATTATGGATTTTGAGAACCGAATCAAAGCCGATTTCCGAAATAACGGTCAGAAATGGGCGGTGGATGTTGGTATTGAAGCTGATTTCCCAGAGGCTGGTATTGAAGAGGGATATATGACTTTTACGAATGAAGAAATCCTCCAGTGTTTTGAACCCGTTGTGAACAGGATTCTCGAGCTCGTGCGCAATCAGATTATCGCCATCAAGCAC